CAAGTGTGTCATGTCCTCTGAGGTCCTTACTCATTTGAAGAGTAAAACCACTACTGCTTCCCCAATTTTGTGATTGTTGCCAAGATTCCAGCATGACTCAAGCGGCTTAATGCACTTCATTATGAAGTCTGAGAGAGTTTTAACATCTTGGTGTTGGCAGAAATGATTTAAAATCACCGCCTGCTTGGAGACTCACTGGCTCCAGCCACTGGGAATGGGACAGCAGCTTTCATGTTTAGGTCGAAGCTAGCTGTAGTGTTAGTGACAAAGTCATGAACTTCCAACTGCTTGTGTAGGGTCTGAGGTGCAAGACTGGCCTGTGTTCTGTGGGGACCCTTGGCAAAGCATTTAGTGCCTCTAGGACTTTGGTTTACCATCTGTGTGGAAAGAATGAAAGTCTACCTATGTCAGAGTGGTGTTGAATGATTGATCTCACTAGTGACTGTAAGGCTCTTTGCTGCCCCAGTTGGGAAGTATATGAGCACAACGAACTAGGTGAAACGATTTGGCTTGGTTTAGCCTTGTCATTTGACAGCATTTTTACACATGCTTCAGAAGGTGCAGGGAGTTGGGGGGAAGCGCTTTAATTAACAAGCTGCACTAATTAAAAGTGCCTGAATGTTAGTGTACCGGCAGTCCTCGTGCTGAAAAATGGCAGTGGGGCACTTTGAATTAAAGCTCATTGAACAAGTTTTAGTTTAAAGCGCCCTGCCGCCATATTTCGGCATGGGGAAACTGATATATGTGATGCCAGAGTCTGCTAGAATGCATTTATTTCCGTGCTCCAGAAGATTTTATTAATCAAGTCTGCTCCAACGCACTGGATTTCCAGCATGTTGGAGTTGGCTCCCTGCCTGCCTGTAGGAACCCTGAGTGCCTACATCACTTTCGGTGTCCTCGTTGGCATTTCAGGGAGGGTGCAGACTGCATGTCCCAGGGATACTGAATTACTCCCCTCATAGCTACAAGGGGTCCTTCTGGATCAGGGCTGTGGCCTGCTGGTAAGGAAATTTGAACTTCTGCCAGTTGTGTTGTACCTGTTTTGTGGACGAACAAGGTTTTGCCTCCAAAGTCATAATCACTTAAAGCAGCTGAAGGCTTGAAATACTCCATCATCCCAGCAGAGGGCAGCCCATGCCAGTTGAGGGATCCTAGACATACCTTCTGAGAATCCTTCTTCCTAATTGGCTTGTAGATTAAAGTAGTACTGGAAGGGGTGCTAGAGCTTCACTGGCTGGCGCCTTTAGATATTGCAAGGCCCAGGCTCTTCCTCGTAGAATAGTGTCACTGGTTTGACTTTGGACTGGTGCGCATTTATTTTGCCCTCTACATTTTCCTGAATCAACAAATCTTCTACATCCCTGGTCTTCAGTCTCTCTTGTACTTACCTAGTCCCGTCTTGATGGAACATAAGTATAAATTTAAGAATAAATTAATAAGTACAACTTTTACACCTGTTGAAATCATCTATGTTCTCCTGCAGCTTCATAAGGAGCAACAGCAAGTACTCTGCACATCTTAAAGCAATCTAATTCCCTGACTTTTGTAGGGACACACTTACAAAAGAGTACTCCAGAATTTACCAAGCAGATGCCTTATTGTGCACATATATCAAGATTGAGATATATCATCACTCCAAATGTGCTCCAGTATATATATATTTTGAATAGTGTCAAGGTGTCTGCAACTAGGCCAAGTATCCATGATGCTAGGTAGGGCTGTGCAAAATTTCACTGGGTGTTTCATCTTAAAGTTGTTTTGATGCATTTTGAGCTTGAAACAGTGAAATAGAAATGAAACAAAAGCCTTCGAAACAGCTTCGAAATGAAACAAGGGTACTCAAATCGTTTTGAGTTTTGAAGCCGGGCTTTACTTGGCTTCAGCACCAGTCCCAATCAGCAGCAGCAGCAGCAGCCTCCTGTCATCTGGTGTACAGATCCAGGGGCTGGATTCCCCAGGAAGATCCTGGCACATCCTGCAGCCCTCCTGGGGATGCAGGCCTCCAGATCTGTGCACTGGATGACAGCATGCTGTTGCTGCTGGTTGGAGCCAGCGGCAGCACCAATCTTCCCAGTGCTGGGTGCAGGCTCCGTCCAGTGCCAGTGTGAGCTGGCAGCAGCAGCCTCCTGTCATCCAGCAGGCAGATTGGGGACCTGCCCACACCGCCGAGAGGGCTGCGGGGCTCTGCCAGACTCCTCCTGGGTCTGCAGACTCCCAATCTGCCTGCTGGATCACAGGAGGCTGCTCCTGCTGCCTGGGACCAGCTCTGGGTGCAGCCCGCATCCAGTACCAGGAAGACTGGTGTTGCCACCGGTGCCAGGAGCTAAATGCTTATGAACGCGTCTTGATCCTTGAGCAGAATTGTTTTTTTTAATTCTTGATGTTGCAGTAGTATTTAGAACTCCCAGCTGTGGATCTAGATCCTATTGTGTCCAGTGCTGTACAGGCACAAAGGTGGTCCTTGCCCAAAGAGCCTGCAATCAAAACATATAACAAGACACTATGCTTTGTACTAATTGATGGGAGGCTTCAGGACCACGTTGGTCAGTGTAATAGACAGTGGGCTCAGTGCATCAGTAGCCTTCTGTTTTTTAAGGCATTATGGGGGGAAAAGGGGAACTTTTTAAAGAATAGATTTGAAGAAGGCATGGGTGGATCCAGGATTTTGTGGCAGATGTCACTGACCTTGCCCTTTAGACCATGGGAAAATGTATTGCATGGCTGAAGCCTTTGAGTCAGCTGGGGGCATTGGCAGCAGGAAAATGGGGGCTGCTGCTGCCATTACTACTGTCCCCAGCTGAGCCCACCCATGTAGACACTCCCTACAGTCTGCGGTTGGGGCAGGGTGGGAGCGACTCTGAGGCTTTTTGGCACCCAGGCCAGTGGGGAAATAATAGCAGGTGGGCCCCTCCTTCCTGAATGTGGTCCCTGAGTGGCCCCTTGGTGTCCTCCGCTAGTCCTGGGGTTCCAGCTGAATGGGGGTGCCAGTCCTCCATGTCCCTGGGTCCCCTAATGGCTGGGAGTGGGGACAGGGAGAAGGAACTTGTCTGCTGCTTCCAGTGTCCCAAATGAGTCCAGCACTCTGCCAGCTGCTCCCCCAAGGGCCCTGGCTGGAGCGGGGCAGGAAGAGCCCTGGGTCAGCTGGGGACAGTGGCAGCAGCAGGTGCATTTACCCTGCCTGCACTTGCTCCTTGCCTGACCCTTCTGGCTGTCTCCTGCCAACCTGGAGGCTCCAATAGTGCCTCAATAATCTGACCTCAGCAGTGGCAGTGTTACCGGACGTGGCTCGAGCTCCCTATGCACCAGCAGCTGCAGCTGTGGTTCAGTTGCGGCTGCAGTATCCATGTGAACACTTGCAGAATCCCTCCCCCCACCCCAGCATGGGCTCCCTGGGGCCTCTACCCTGGTGCCCCGTCCAAATTGGCTTCTGGAGTTTATCCTTCACTTACCTCCCTCTTTCCCCTCTCCCATCCTCCACTGCAAGATGTGATAGCACCCCCAGCAGGAGCCTGCACCTCTGCCCACACCATAGTAGCAGTAGCTGGCGTGCAGGGAGGCCAAGCTGTATCGGGAATGCTGTGGCTCTCAGGCAGTCTGCACAGACTTCCACACCGACCCCCACCCCGTTCTGCCCAGAGCATGGAAGTAGCTCTTTATAGCTGGTGATGCTGAGTCGGAGAGATCCTGGGGAAGTCAGTCCAGCTCCTTCACAGCCACCCCCTCCTCACTTCCCTGCTGAGGAGCCAGGACTCTCCTCCTTACACTGGCAGCAGGATCAAATGGGGGTGAGGTATGATCATACCACTGCACCCCCAGCCCCTTGGATCTACCAGAGGATAAGGAGAAACTTTGCAGATATTTATAAGAAGCTCCTCCCAAGTATGGCAGGCAGTGAGGGCTGAGTAATTAGTGCTTTGTTGAAAATGTACTGAGTGGGTGATGGAGGCAGGTATGCAAATGAGCAGATTAGAGGTGAAATTCTCACTCACTACTGAATGAGAGGATTAGGTGGCAGGTTAGGTCCAAGTTCTAGAGGACCTTGAAGGTGCTTGCATTACATGTGATAGAGAAGGGTGAGACAGTAGAGGGATGCAGGGAGAGGTGCAATGTGGTGAAAGTTTATTTAAAAAAAAAGTCTCTAGCAGTGTTCTGGCTGGGTAGGAGCAGGTCCAATTGCACTGGTCAACACTGAGGAAAAGACAGTTGTAGTAATCAAGACATCAAATAACAAAATCCCAGGCAAGAACCTTGGCCATGTTGTTAGATGCTATGTAGAAAGAGTCTTTGAGACTTGGAGTGTGTCTGAATGACACACAGCAACACCAGTTGGAGACATGCCATGTCCACTACATGAACACTGTCTCCTGAACAAGCAATAAGGTAGTCATGTTGGTGTAATGTGGCTACCTGATCTGTGATTTGGGAGCTTGTGTGTGCATGGGGCTGTGCTGTGCCATGTAGACACAGCTTGGATGCTGGAGCTGAGAGAGAATCCAGTTGAAGGCGAGACCCACGTTACGGCCCTTGGTGATTATATCTGCAGCTATCAAAGAAGGAGGGAAGCAGGGGAGATGAGGAGCTCTTTTATCCATGTTCAGTTTGAGTTGATGGTTTGATGTCCACAGAAAGAGATTGAGGCTGACATTGGAGGAAATTAATTCTAGACAGTTATTGTAATAAATGCATTCAATGGAGACTCAAGGGATGTCAAGGGGGGGAGTTCTTAAAGCTGTGAGTGACTAAGACACGCTTGTCTTATGAAGGAAAAGTGTGAGAGGGCAGTGAGAAGTTAATGTGAAGAGTAAGAATTATAGGATCAGGCCCACAATATGTTGTTCTCTCCCCCAAACTGCTCTGCATCTTGTTATGTTGCCATTCACTCTGCAGTTGATCGGTGTATTCTCATGCATGAAAGAAATGGCACTTCCAGGAGTATTGGGAATGGCAGTGATGCCCTACAGGACGGATGGTGTGGTCTGCTAACTTCTTGTTTGTGTTAGTTACAGGACCCTTATCAGGCCCACATACAAAATGTCCTACCGAACTGTGACTGCCCTGGAGTGGAGATGCTGTCCTGGGTTCACAGGGAGTAACTGCGAAGAGGGTAAGTCAATTGAAATGGATATCTGTTCCTGCAGCACATTAATGGGGAGTTGAGAGAGTGTATTTTTGACTGAGTTGTCTTATTTTTTCTTTAGTTCACTGTGACTTTCCCTGTCTTCCAAACAAATACTTGAAACCCTTGAATTTTTCACACAAAACCGAATATCACTTTTTTCTGTTGCAGGGCAAATTTTAAAGAGATTGTAACCGCTGAACCCGCAAAATTACATACATGCCCCTTGCCCTTTCAGAAAGCTGTGGTGGGGGCAGTGCAGTAGCAGTGTACTCAGCCATGTCTGGAGCATGTAGTTTTCCCATTGGTGGGTGGGGATATTATATTTCTTGTGTCTGGTGCTCCCATTATGCTATCCCTTGGAAAACCTGGATCCTGCACATTATCATTTGATGAAACTCATCCCTCATTTTTTTTCTCGCATCCCACACACATCTTGAAGTACAGTTAATTTCCATTGCCATCAGTTACTGCTGTCATTGAGAACTGAGTTGCAAGCTACCATTTCTAAAGAAATCTGCTTGACTGTCCTTGAAAGTTGCTTTGTAGTGTGTAATGAGGTCAGCCTCTATGTACCTGTCCATGTCAAGGTAGTTCTCCCAGAGATGGTGCATAAATGGCACCAAAATGATTCACTATCCCTAGTACCCTTGTATAATTGCTGGGTTGCATGGGGTATAAAACAGAGATGGTACACTTAGTACTGGATGTCTCATATTTAATAAAACATGGAGCTTTTTTCCAGAAAAAGAGGGGAATTTTTTTCCATTTTCTCCCTACAACTGACAAATGGCAAGAATTTTGTGTGCATTTTCCTCCTCTGCTTTTTGTAGCTTTTCTACTTCTAGTGCTTACAAATGTGCTCTGTTTAGATCTGTTTTAATTTCAGCCTTGGGCGATATGGGATCACAGGAATTGGTATCCTATGAATCGTACATGCATAAAAATGGAAGCTAATTGGATAAATGTGGGCCCTGGATTTGCTTGTCTTTAAATTGGGATCTGAGTGACTTGACTCAGCTGGCAGGCAAGAAGTTGTTGGAAGAATTTGACATATCTCATACTTTGCCATCTGTAACTGTGTTGGGTTACAGTCAGCACTAGTTCTTTTGAGCTGTCATGCCATTGTATTTGCTACGCTGCAAACAACTGTGAAAAATAAATAAATTGTCTTGTGAGAGCTGTGGTAGATGGGGGAGCAAGAATGGTGATCCTGGGCTGGCATCCTCAGGCTGCTGTGGAAACAGAAGCTTCTGAAAAGCTTACACAATTGTAAAAGTAGGAAAGCTATATGGAGCGAAACCTGCAGCTCGGAGCTTTACATTGCAGCCAGGTGCTAATGAACACGAGCCTGGGAAAGCAACTACTTGGGGAATGCAATGAAATAGCATCCCTGAGGTTTGGTTGGGCACTTAACTCTCATGGTACTGAACAGTGGCATTAATGATTACAGCAAAGGACCAGGTGGTTCCAATAGTGTCTTTCTGATAACTCCCCCACCCAACAGTCAAGATTCGGTTTGAGTCAGACTTTGAATTGGTTTGAGTCCGTCTGCAGTATGTATGCAACCCATTAGCCTTCAATAGGTTTGTACAGGTGTAAGTGATTACAGCTTAGTAAACAGTTCTATTAGTGCAAAATAGAGAACCCAGCTCCCTCCCGCAGTGCCGGATCTGTCTCTGCAGGATTAAATGGAAATCAGCAGAAGCTTCCTTGTGAAAGTCAGCAAATCAGACTCTGCATCCTCTTGGGAACAGCTTTGTTGAATGAGGTGACAATTTTATGCAGTAAGTTTTTGAGGTAGAACTGTGTTTTCAGGCTTGAATACAGTGTGCTGGCATGTTGAGCTGAAAGCCAGTAGCTAGGCCCTTCTTTCATGTACAAGCTTTTTGAAAACATCTGGAGCAACTGACAATCCCAGCTTCTAAAAAAGTGACCCTTACCCCTAGAACTGAGACTTGCCACTAGCTTTCTAGAAATAGCTTTGATCTTAATTGCTTGAACTCTTGAGTTGCTGTATTTAAGATATATTTTACTTAAAGGGACATCAACTGAGAATCAAATCGCTTTATCTGCTGCTGTTAATCTTAGAAAGATGAAAGCTCTTTCTAGCCTCTTCTCTTTCTCTCTCATTTTGTTTACTTAATGTATCTTTCAGAACTGGTTATAAAAATCTGTTTTCCCTTGTACAGTCGGTTTCCCTTGGGGAGAGGCATGTACAGTTTCACCAAGGAACTGGGGAAAGAGCACTTTGGGGGAAAAAAAAATGTAATGTAATTTGGGGGACCATAAGAAAAAGGCTAGGAACAGAGGTAGAACCTCAAACTATTTTAAACTAGATGTCAGGCAACTGTTTCTTTAAATATGCAGGTACATCTAGCACTCAGATGTATGTGTGGCTGCATGGGTGTAATTGATGGCAGAATTTGCTTTCATTGGTTTAACATGTATTCTGTCCATACCATGAAAGACCTGTCGCCACTGTACCTACCCTGTCCTCTCTTATTTAACACGTATTGTAGATAGTAACCACAGCAGATGATCTCAGCCTTAAGTTTTATTGTCCTTTCCTTCTGTTTGGGGACTGCAGGCCCTTTCCCAATGGAACATGGAATGACACTGAATTTTCATGCTGAGGGTTGATAAAGTTTATAGATAATTATGATCAAGCAAAATCATTAAAGCAGTAGGGTTGGAGTGGTGTTATAGGTGCAATAGTTCAGGAAATATAAGCGAAGCATTTGGTTTTTTTGGTGCTAGCTTTTAGTGGTGCAACTGTATAGTTGGGAGAGGTGTCAGACAAGTTTTCAGGCAAAGTACCTTTTCTCAGGTTCATGGGGGAAAGGAGCTGAAGATGCAAATTTTAGGGATACCTCTTCAGGTTCATAGGTGCCCACTTTGCAGCGCGAGATTCAGAAAGAATGACCCACCTGTTTCTGTCTTAATCCTCCCCAAACAGCTACAGCATCTCCTCAGAAAGAGGGGATCTAAGGAAACAAAACTCAAAAACACTTCAGTAACCTCTTTGCCTGCAGCCTATTGTGGAACAGTGGGGATGGCCTGCTCCTACTTGGGCGGGGGTTTCCCTTGTAGCGGTGGCAGCTCGGGCTGGAAGGCTGGTCCTGCCACATTCTGAATTTCTTGCCATTAGCCGCTTGTTTGTTGCAACTCTTCTTGACTGAAATATCTCCTCTGTCCATCCTTGCCCAACCCCCTGCACTGGTAACATGCACATTGACAGAATGTACAGTCGTTAAACTCAGTGCAAGTATCACCAAGTGTCTCACCCTTGGCTAATAGGTTCAGTTTGAGAAAGTAACCACTTAACTATCACCAGCTGGCGGGCACCTACTTAATGCTGATGGCTGCAGATTGTTTAGATTAAAATGATCTCAGGAATTTAACCCTTGCGCTGCAGTCTACAACAATTTTGGCTATAGAAAGCCTGGTGTGTGGGGGTGGGTGCAAGACATCCTCTATCTTTTAATAAGCTGAGTAGGGGGTGCCTGCTTTGATGTTTCCTTTTTAAAGCCACTCTGCCCATGACCCTCCCAGCCCCCAACACCAAGGACGCTTGAGCATTTGAAACATGACGGCTATTTCCTTCCTTGTTTTCATAGCGTTCTGACCAGCAAGTGGACTAGATGGTTAAAACCACTAACTGCACCAGGACTTTAAGCATTTCTTTCAAGAAACCCCTTGCTCTGCATTGGACAGAGCAGGAGACTTGACACACACACGTCTGGGGAGCTTAACTGTCAGTGGATGATCATTTTTTTTATTTTTCTGGGTTTTTTTTTAACTGGAGCCCAACCTAGGACAGGAAATGAATCCACTGAGCCACCCAGTCTGTCGAATGCTGATATAAAGAACATATGGAAAAGGGCAGTGCAGAGGTGAAGTGGTTTTAGCTATTGCAATCATGCATCAAGCTGATTGATTTGAATCCAAGATGATGCTGACATTTCAACCCAGTCTTTCCCCTCACCCCAACCCTACCCCCTCTATTTTTTTTTCTTTGTGGCTCAGAGTTCAAAGCCAAGATGAATCTCTTGGGAGAGGAAAAGTGTCCCAAGCCAATCCAAGGGCTCAGTACTGTGTTAGTGTTAGCCAGCTAGTGAGAATCTTGTTTTACTTTAAAAATCTGACATAGATTTCTGCTCAGAGTTAGGATGGTAGCCAATATATAATTTACCCACTAAACAACGTGATGAGAGAGTCTGAATATTTGGGCAGGGAACAGTCACAAAGTAACTCTCCACCTCTAATGTGACATTATCATGGCTTTTAAACTGTTTTTTGTTTATTTTTTAAATCATAATCTTTAAACAAATATGGTTAGGACAAGGGAAGTCGGTCAACATGTTTTAAGCAGTAGCTTAAATGAGTTCATGCTTTCTGTTTCTTTGGGTGCTTGTTCTTGGGACAAGTTTTATCTGCCTTTTAGAGTTTGTGTGAGTCTCTTCTCATCTGAAAGGATTCCAGACATGATACATGTACACATGTCTGCATTTTTCAGAGTGGCCTCCGAACTTCAGGCACCCATCTCCCACCGTGCATCGGAGCATGGGAAAACTTGGCTGCCATTGAAACAAAGTGGCCTCTGGACTGGAATGTGACAACCAGTCTGTCAGGAACAGTACACAGTGGTTCTTGAAAGGGGAAGTGAAGAGTAACTTCTGAACTAAAATGGAAGGAGAATTTGAAGCAGA